TACCTCGCGGACGACAGTCGAGATCTTTGTTCTGGGTCTGTTGGCACGCGCAACCAAACCGGAGCTTGCGGCCTCATCCGGGGATCTGATGGCTGCTTTTCTTCAGAAGATCAAGGCTACATCTGAAGTCGGTCACCTGCTGTCGCTCTGGGTGGCACCTGTCCGTCACGTCACACTAAGAACCCTCGATGACCTGGAGTATATGTCGAACTACATTCTTCAGCCTTGCTTTGAGGTGGATGTAATTGGTTTCCGGTCTTTCATTGAGAAGTTCCCTCTCCAAAGTCTGCTAGCGGGTGACATGAGCGATGCGCCCATAGCGGAGTTCATGGTCTTGTTCGCTTCTTTACAGGTAGCAAAGAAGGTTGGACTCGTTCACGAAGATCGTAAGTCTAAGACTCCCTGCCATGTCTACTGCCCCTGCTCATGTTGCGACTAGACTATATCGGGAAACCCAGCTCCACGGCTGCTGACGCCGACCGTGCGCTCGTGCTGAAAAGTGAGGTGATCGGACAATTTCTCTTTCACCACGATATGACTATTAGGATTGCAACCCTGTCCTTGTTGATCAGTGCACCTTCCTCGACCAAAGCCGTCTCATCCGCCACAATGAAAGCCATTGTGAATGGATTGCCCTCTCTGCATTGTGAATCAGAGTCTTATTCGAGAGGAGAGGTATTGAGCTTAGTCCGTAAGCTGGTCGTCCGTCTGAAAGGTGGAATCTTAGAGGACCAAGATCGCTTGAAGAGTGAGAAGGCCACTGCAAACAAGGACGCTCAGAAGAACTTCTTCGATGCCTCCGTCACTGGGAAATGCTTGAATGAGTACTTCAACTTTCTCAAAGCTGACTTGCGACCTACAGCCTCTTATCCACGCCACATTGCTGCGCTGAAAACATTTATCTTCTTCATCGAATCTGGACTTGATAGCCGGTACAGCGCCACAGATAATAACAAGACTCGTTGGGTCTGCAACATGGACATCTTCAGTTCCACCTTGCTCAGGCTACTGGTTGATTTGTTGCTTGATCCATTCGAGGAAGTGCGCGCGACCTCTCTGTACCTCTTGAACCTTTTCCCCCGGGAGGTTCTTTTCAGCAGTGATTCGCAGCCACAGGACGAGTCACTGGCAGGGCAACCTCAAATCATTGATGGATTGTCAAAGGCGGAGCTGCTGGCAAGTAACACCAGCAGAGCTGATTACGCAGATACAGTTGCTCGCCTTTACCACATACTCTTCCGTGCTGCAGCGTCTGAGAGCTTGAACACTTCCACATCGTGGTGGGAAGCTAAATCAACGGTTGTCGAGTATCTCCTAGCAAAGCTGGAGCAGAAGCTTTCCTCCGCAGGCGGTCTGTTCAACTCTTCTATGCGTGATGCACCTCTGCACGGCTATATCTCTGCGCTCAGGTACCTTCTTCCTGCCTGATTCGATTAGTCCCTGCTAATCCGCCATCCAGATATATTGTCTCAACCTCCGATTTCTATTCCCTGGTGTCCGAAAAGTCCACGAACTATGATAAATGGAGGGCATTCCATCTTAGAATCGTGCACGTCTGTGACCGGATCTGGGAAGAGGTTCGACCTGTCCTGTGCATCGACTCTCCAGAAGGTCATACAGACGATCCGATCGAGGACTTGGGCGTCGGTCCCAAGGATATCCTCTCTTATTCTTGGCGCGCTCTGCGAGAATCGAGGTATGGGATTCTTTGACGGCCCACGACACGTTGCTGACCTATACAGTCTTCTTCTCCACGCGACTCTTTCCAATAACTCGTATAGCCCTCCTGGTGACAATGGACTCACGGAGCAACATTTTGATAAGCTGGGAACTCTTAGCTTCATTCAGCTCGCTGAGCTTCGGCATAGAGGTGCATTTTCAACGGTATCGCAGACGTTTGCTACTTGTTGCCAGCGCTGTGCCCAGTCGAGCGATCCAGCGATTTCCGGGCTGCCCCACCGGTTCTATCAGGTAAGAATCTGGTCTTCAGGTTACTTGACTTGGCGGATGCTCACATATTCTGTAGGAGGCCAAGAAAACCATTTTTGAATCGGCGTCTAAGCTCACCCGCCGTTCTGCTGGACTTCCCGCACTGGTTGTCGGAATTCTTTCGTCGAAGCCTGGTGGGCCACTGTTTCAGCAGGTTATACAAGAGCTTCATGAAATATCCCATTTGCCGGCAGAACAGGACAAGACTAGACAAGACACACCTTTGCCCCAGGTTCATGCAATGAACTGCCTCAAGGACATTTTTACGAATACCAAGCTTGGCCCCCATACAGAGCCCTTCATTATGCCTGCCCTACGACTGTCGGCCGAGCGTCTTGGTTCTCCTATGTGAGTATCCCTTTTACCTCCCTAGCTCAGAAGAGTCTGACCTTGGTAGATGGGCCCTCCGCAACTCTGGTCTCATGTTGTTCCGCGCTTTGTTGACACGCATGTGCCGCACCGGCACCGGCCTGGGTTTTGGTGGTGAATCCGGCTCTGAGCCCGGAGCCAGAGTTTCGTTCCAGAAATACCCTGGCCTTCTCGAGCTTCTTCCCACCCTTCTCACCCCATCCGAAAAGAACAACTCTACCGATCAGAGCGACACTGCAATGGTCACTGAGCGTGTCTTCCCAGCCTTGGAGTTGATCGCTGAGAAGGTCCCCAATGTGACTGGTACCGATGACGAGGTTTTGCGTGGCCTTGTCCGCGAACAACTCAAGAGTCCTGTTTGGGGTATCAGAGAGCACGCGGCTCGAGTCTACGCATCATTGTTGAAGCGTGTTGACATTCTGACCAATATCAAGACCTTAATCGGCGTCGAGAGAGATAGCACGACGCAGGATTACCTTCATGGCGAAGCATTGTGCATCAAGTACTCTCTCCGCCGGTTCGCAGCCAGTTCAGTTGCCTTTTGGAACGGTATGACCCTTTGTGTATGCTTATGCGCTTTCTGCTGACGATGCACAGAAAGCATCGACCACGTAGACTCTCTAGTACGGGATATTTTTGCTGCATCATTCCAGCTCGCAGAATCGCCATTCATCGCGACTACGCTTCTGGAGATTCTGAGTGATGTGGTTGAAAAGAGTATTGACTCGGGCTCTGAGCGTAAGGAGGTTCCTGATGTGAAATGTAAAGCATTGCTAATTTCTTTTTCATTAGTCCGGTTGGTTTCTACCTTGGAGTCTGTGACCACTGAATATGCCTTCGAAGACATCTTAGGTTTCGTATTCAACTCATCTCATCCATCCTGGAAGTCTCTGAGCACGACCCGAGCCTCGTCGCTCCTCCGTCGGGCGATCTCGTGGGTCACCATCTTGCATATGCTTATTGGAGGAAGGATCAACGATCTTGAGCCTTTCGTTCGTGCTGTCTCGAATTTCGACCCCAATGCTGGTCAGTGGTTGTTGGAAAGGCTGCAGGAGATATTCGGGCCTAGAGAACAGTATGGAAAAACGTTGATCGGCCTGTACTCCTCAGTCATTTTGGGAGACTATCCTGAGGAAGTCAAGGCAGTAGCCATTGCGTCCTTGGCATCGAAGTTGCAAGTTCTCTTCGACTGCCGCAATGAGGCTCTCCCTCAGATCGATCTTCCATGGGGAGCACTAGAAGGCCAACTTAAGCATGGCTCAAGCCAGCACATCTGGAACCGGGATAGGTCTGACGCCGAATTACAACTTCACGGCAGTCTCCTCGCTGCCAAGGCTATCGCTTCCAATAACCAGAGTTCTGAGAACGACATCAATGAGTGGGCCACTCGTCTTCGCTTCGCTATGCGAGAAGAAACGGTACGCACCTGACTGTTTATTATGTCTGTATCGTATGTGCTAACAGGTCACAGGAATTTACCACCCGTCTCGCTGCAGTATTATCTGTCTCAGCATTTGGCCGTATTCTGCGTCCTGCTGGAAAGGTCCCACTCACTGATAAGGCGTTTTTGGATATTTACCTGGTCCTCTACGACATGTTGAACGATGACGACGAGGAGCTGCGTGACCTGGCCGCTCCAACCGCCTCATGGGTGCTGTCTTACTCCTCAGTATCCCCGTCCAAGGCAGTCGCCTTGTCTCCATCAAACGCCAGCGAGCTTCTTTCCGCGTTCATCGCTCAAAGCTACCACAACTCGCAGCAGCTTCGCAAGAGAGCTGTTGCCTATATGACTGGCTCCGAACCACGGATCAGCACTTCCATCGCTCAGTCTGTGCCTGTTTCCACCGTACTTTCTAACCTCCGCAAGGAAAGCACAATTCTGTTCGAGGAGGAGAAGCAGAATCTGTTCATCGATGACGTTCGTGAAGTTGATGTGTGGACCAAGCAAATGAACCGGTTGACGGACGCATCATATGATGATGCCTCCATCCAGGCAATCTTCGCCTGGGTATCGAATGGGTTGTCTTGCTTGGGAGATGTCTTTGCGGACACCACCGAAAAGGACGGGCTGTTGGGCTGGGCCTCGAAGCCTGAAACATTCACTTTGGGAGTAAGACTTTTCAGCCTGGCGACCGTAGCAGTCTCCAAGGAGTCTGCTGCCTCCCGACTCTTGGGACAGGAGCGCGTGACCGAAATGAAGGAGAAGCTTCAAGCTCTGCTTGCACACGGAAAGACATCCTTGATACACGATGATTGGATTTCACGTATTCGGGCGGCATTGGAATCCTCATGACTGCATGATGTTATTTAGAGGTATAAATAAAAGTGTGGCGGGGGAGGGTGTTTGGATAGTAATGATTCACTTGTACACAAACTGAACGTTCCACCATGATAAAACACAACTCAGGACACCATTTACCACAACTGGTTTTCAGCTCACTGCCATGGCAATGAACATATCAGCCAATGTTTACGTCCCCTTTCTACAAACAGCAAAAGCCCATATGTTCTCAGACTTTTCTAAACAGCCCAACTACGCTTGACATAGCCCCTGTAGCGGTACGTGAAAGCATGAGAATTATTATGCCCCTCCATATGACTGAGACTTGAAGCAGGCCGTCCGTCCACACGTGAAAGCCAAGATGAACGGCAACGTGGTGGTCATCGCCATACTCCTCTCCCTCCTACTCTCCATCATCATCGGCGCCTACCTGTTCAGCGTATGGTGGTCCAGGCAGCTCCATGGCCGATCCGTGCGACGCCGTGAGGGCACACGGGAGCTCGTCACCCTCACCCAGTCCAACGCCAGGGCCAACGGGAGACGCTGGGTGGAAGTCCGCGTCAGGGAGCCGGGCAATCCCCGTCGTACGAACCCTCCTGGCCCGGCTCTGACGAAGTCCCAGCATACAGCTACGCAGAATCCCCCCCGGCAAGACCGTGAGCGCAACATAGACCACGTAGTGGAGACACACAGGAACGATCACCAGTGGGACTCGCATGCCAACAACCATGGCAGAGTCGAGACCCAGAACAACGATAATGAGTGGGATCCTCCTGCGAATGACAATCATGATAACGATGCTCGCCATTCGTGGGGTAACGCCCCTGATCCTGATCCTGCTCCGGCTCATCCATCCCCTCAGGCGTCAACACCTAAGAGCTGGCATCCGGATCAGGGACCGGCGCTGGCTCAGTCCTTACATGACATGTTCGGCGGTCGCACGAGCGGACCTAGAAATTCGAGAGCAGCGAGCAGAGTTGGTTCGAATAGGCCTGATCATGGAGCTGATGGTGGTGAATGGGAAGGATATCCAAACAACAACCCGGATGACGAGGCTCGGCCCGCAGGAGAAGTCAGTTGGTAAAGTGGTAACATTGGGGTTGATGGCTGGTTGAGATCTCAGAGGGAGGGATGCATCCGTTCTTGTAATGTAGTAGCCTGAGTAGTAACAGTGATGCTCGAAATAGTAAGCGATGACGGCGATGGTCTCTGCGGACGGCCCGAGTCGGTGACGTTGATCCCCGCGAATTGCATCTCCAGGCGGTGACTTTCCTGCCGCCGACTCCATCCAGTGTTCTCCTTCCCTCTCTCTCTCGCTCGCTCTCTCTCTTGTTTGTTCCACCATTCAATAGTCGATCTTATCCTTCAATTTATTCCGTACCTGGCTTAAATTATCGGATTGTCTCACATTACTCAACTAGCATTCCATGAGCCTCGTCCCCCTGCCTGTCCGCTGAGAACTAGCAAGGCTGCTCTGACCAGCCACTCCCCCACCGGAACACCATGTGGAACGACGAGGATAACAACCCGTACGGCGCATTCGACACCGAGGCGCATCTGTCAGAGTCCCTGCACTCGGCCAATCTCTCTCCTCGTATGAACCCCACGCTCTGTATTTTATAGCCACGTTTGTCGCTAACGTGCTGTAAGCTCTCTACGATCGCGAATACACCCCGCCCTCTCCCTCGAGCCGATCGTCCACCCAAGACCCTCCCGACTTCCTGTCGCAACAACAGGATTTGAGCGACGAAGATGACCACGGAGCGTACACGAGCCAACACACCGGTCAGGGATACATGCGCAAGAGCGTCTACGACAGCCGGATAGAGCAGATCTTGTACGAGAACCCCGACATGCCGATCCTCATAACCGACGCCGGAAAGAACCACGAGGGCGGCGGCAGCTTCATCGTCTATACGATACGTACAGGAGTATGGCAAATGCGGTAACTTAGTACTGGGAATGATGCTAACGGCATGCAGGACCTTGAAGTCCGGAGACGATACTCGGAGTTCGCCTCGCTGCGCCAAACCCTTGTCAATCTTCATCCTACGCTGGTCGTTCCGCCCATTCCGGAGAAACACACCATGGCGGACTACGCCGCCAAGCCCACCAAGGCCAAGGAAGACACGGCGATCATCGATCTTCGGAAACGAATGCTGGCCGTGTTTCTGAACCGGTGTCGTCGGATGAAGGAAATTCGCGAAGACGGAGTCTGGTGGAGGTTCCTGGACCCCAACGTCAGCTGGGTAGGTTGCGCCAGATGCCAATGAACGCCCGCCTGATGTATACTGACAACTGCTCAGAGCGAAGTCCTCCATTCCCATCCCGCATCTTCAGTCCCTAAAAACAACCTCAAAGCTCCTCCCCTCGATCCCGCCAATCCCACACCCGCTCATGCTTGGCTGCCGGTGCCCTCGGCATCGGCGAAGCTCAAGTCGGCGTCCGGGACTGCGCCGTCCGGCACCCCGACCGATGCCCCCAGTCAAGATGTGCTCGGCCGTTTCCCACCGGAGTCGCGGAAATTGAGCGAGAAGGAGCTGGATCCTTACTTCATCAATTTCGAAGCCTCCACCCGTGAGCTAGAGCTGCTCCTTCAAGGCAACATTGAAAAGGTCAACCGCCGGACGCTCGCTCATTTGTCGTCCTTGTCGGCGGACCTTATGGAGCTGGGGGCACGGTACAACGGTTTCTCCTTGTCAGAGCAATCCCCGACCGTGGCAGCTGCTATCGAACGGGTCGGTCAGGCGGCCGATACGTCTTATATCGAGACTGAGGAGCTTTCCGCCGCCTTGAGTGCAAGCTTTGCAGAACCCATGCGGGAAAGCGCGCAGTTTGCCAGCGTGGTGCGCAGCGTTCTACGTTACCGCGTTCTCAAGCGGGTGCAAGAGGAGATGACTCGAGACGAATTGGCGAAGAAGCGGACCTTGCTCGAGTCACTTGAGCGCAGTGAAATGGAAGCTCAACGGATTGAACAATACCTGAACCGCTCCTCTCCTCAAGGTGCAACCACGAGACCTCAGCGATCGCTGTCGGCCTCGTCAGCCGCCAGTGCTCCGGGCGGGCCCGAGAGCGAAGGACGTCCTGGCAGCCACGAAGACAATGCTTCGGTGGACTCAGACTTTCCTCCTACACATGGCGAGTCTATCAGCTCCCATCCCTCCGCCCCTCAAGCCGCCTCCCACCGCCGTCCCGACTTTGGCCCGTCCTCGCCTCCCGCACACCGCAAGACATCTAGTGGAACGTTTGTGGCCAACAAGATTTTTGGACGCATCAGTCATGCGGTGCATGGATTTGTGGATGTTGATCCGGAGAGGACTCGTCGAGATCAGATAGGAAAAACGAAAGAAAGCTTGCAACAGGTAAGAAAGACTGTCTAGGTGTTTAAAAGAATTGTGACTGATGATGCGATAGCTGGAACAAGCTTTGACGGTGTCCGAAAAAGACGTGAAAGATGCGAGTGCCGGAGTACTGCAAGACTTGAAACGCTTCCAGAAAGATAAGGAGATGGACCTCCGCCGGTATATGGTAGGGCTCTTCTCGCCTGAACCTAGGTTGAATTTATGCTGACGAGGATCGTGACAGGTCGCGTATGCGCGGTGTCACTTAGACTGGGCGCGCAAGAACTTGGAGACTTGGACGGAAGCCAAGGACGAGGTGGAGAAAATCGAAGTACGGTAGTAAGTACGGAGTAGTAGTTGATGGTTGTCGTGGTCTGCGGTTTGGCGCAGAGTCGAGAAAGGAAAGCGCTGGGCGTTGGTGTTTATGTTTTAGAAATGCTGGGAGCTACGCCATTCGGGATCTTGATGGATCGCACTGCAATTATTAACATGTGCGATTGGCTGCGTTGATGTCTTGACTGCAAACCTGTGATGTCTTGCATGTGAGGAGGAGTAGTTTTCGGCTCCACCGCTTCGGCAATTAATTTATTTCTCCGCCCTGATAGTTCGTTCCTTTTTAAAGTCCTCGTTGACCTCGACGTAGCACCATAATTCCTGATGTATTGCGCCTATTGAAGTTAGCCTTGGCAGGGCGGGTCGGGGAATAGTGATCCAATCCATTTGGTACGTGCAGAAATTGGTCTTGATGACCAATGGCGAATGAATCACTGACCATGACGGCAGATGCTGCTCTCCTGTAGGAGGAAATCTAATGCTTAGCATTGACTTGTCCTCATTAAGCTATAAATGACAGCAACAATCTAAAACCTATTTGTTACACCATCTGCCAGCGTTTTTCCAGAGTCGCATCCACATATAGGCAGCAACAGAAGTTGATAATTGCACACACTTACTAAGATCCAGACCCTGCGGTTCTGATCTGCACCCACCAACCCAGCATTGGCCACCAGACCAATGAACACAATGTGCTGTTAGCCATCCTGCGAGCTCAATTCTTTCAGTTGCGCTCGACAGGATGAACGCTACCGCATCCACCAGACCTCGCCTATTGAGCATGGGCTCGACGTACTCGGAATTCGACGAAGAAAGCAGCGGGAAAGCATCACCACCATTACTTTCGCGCCACTCGCTCCGCCGCATCGTCCGCATCTCCGCTCTGTTGTCGCTTTTCATCTTCGTGCTATACATCCTACGCAACCACTTCCGTGCACAACCACCCAGCTCACTCCCAGACTCTGCCGACACTGCGAACGACGGCGACAAAGCGAACACCGGGCATGACGACCCAGTTTCCCCCGTCTATCCCCCGACCAACCCAACAGAACTCCACATCCACGATCCCAGCATCATTATCACGTATTCTCACCCCGAACCCCAACGAGAGCCTCAAGCTCAAGACTCCAACTTCAACCCCAACCCAAACGCAGCCCACCAACCCCGCACAGTACGTCCCGTGAAGACATACTACGCCTACGGCTCCGGCCCGCACATCCCCATCCACACCGCGCCCGCCCTCTCCGGCCCCTGGACCAAGATCGGCACCGTCCTAACCACGGACAGCGTCCTCCCCATCGGCGACCGAAAAGCGCCCTGGGCGCCCACAGTCGTCGCCCACAACGGCACGTACTACTGCTACTACGCGACCAGCCACAGCGGCTGCCGCCGCAGTGCCATCGGGGTAGCCACCTCGTCGGACCCGGGACCCCGGGGATGGGTGGATCACGGAGTCATCATCCGGTCCGGCGTAGGGACAGGGTCGGGGTTGTACCCGATGGATCGCGCGAATGCGATCGACGTGAGTGTTATAATCACTTCTCTCCCACCGGAAGAGGAGGAAACACAAAAAAAAGAAGAAGAAGAAGTGGGAGACAAAACGCATCCCCACCTCCTAGTCTCCCGGGAAGAACCCCCCCAGACCGAAGATGAGGGTAAGGGAGAAGACCCCAACCCCATCTCAACCTCTCCCCCTAGCCCCAAGCCAACGGAGGAAAAAGGCTACCTGACCTTCGGCTCCTTCTGGACAGGGATCTGGCAAATCCCGCTCACCCCCGACCTTCTGGGGAGTGACTACACGGGCAACCGCGAGGTGCGGCACCTCGCCCACGAGCCGCGGGCGGTGCACCCGCCCAATCCCAAGTCCAATGGGATCTGCGGCGACCCGACGGGGATGCATCCCGTCGAGGGCCCGTTTATCTCCTACCGCGCGCCGTGGTATTATCTGTGGTTTAGTTGGGGGAAGTGCTGTGGGTTTAAGCCGGAGCGGTTGCCGAGGAAGGGGATGGAGTATGTGTGCCCTCTTTCCCTTTTCTTTTTTTTTCCCATGCTCTTGCTTGGAGCTCTGCTGGGATGGATTCTCGGAAATTCCTGTATGGATAAAAGCGCTGCGCTAACCTACCGAACAATGCAGGTATAGCATCCGGGTCGGCCGCTCGAGGAGTCCCCGCGGTCCGTTCGTGGATAAGCAGGGCCGGGACCTAGTGGAGGGCGGCGGGGAGGTGGTTTATGGGTCGAATGGGGAGGTGTATGCGCCTGGGGGCCAGGGGGTCCTGGTTCATCGTCGATACGATGATGTTCTCGGGGTGGAGGTGGAAGAGGATGTGCTTTATTATCATTATCGTGAGTTTTTGCTCTGATCCCTTTTCCATGGTTTTGCTGGGGCTTGATGCTAACTTCTCTTGTGGCTGGGAGTGAATACCTCGGTGGGGTATGATTTTCATGTATGTTTGTCTTTTCCCCTCTTGCTCTCTTCTTCTGTGATTTGGGGTTTGTTGTGCTAGGGCAATAATAGCTAATTTGATGGTTTGTGGACAGGAAGCGCGACTGGGCTATAACATTCTGGAATATGTGGATGGCTGGCCGGTGCCGGGATAGATGATTTAGGTATTGTGGAGGGTGTGATGGTAGCCTGGTGCTGCCTTTTTTGACTTCTTAGCTTGGCTTGGCTTGGTAGATTGTCTTCTGGCGAGATAGACTCTAGCCCTTCTTCATAGAATTTTTGCATTCGAAGTACTCCTTATATGCCTGTAACACAAGTATACCTGGTAGTATGTCGCAGGTACCGAACCTATAATCGCCCGCAGAGCAACCCGGCCTCGGAAGCAGTCTGCCATTGGGTGACCCACCATCGTCATCCCCATCGAGGCCATACGGGGTGTTGCTGGGGGGGAGGATGCGGTTGCAAATATTATATTATACGCGCGTTGGGGGTTTTCTTTGCAACCTGCTTACAGTATGATCTAGCGGTCGATGGGTGACTTTGCCAATTAGTGCAGATGTGTCGCATAGTTGACCATCAAACCTGATGAAGGACTGTGGAAGTGGCAGCTGACGTTGATGGGAACCTCCATGAGATCGGTGGAGGTCATTTAGAAGATTACCACAGATCTGGCTGAGCCCTGCGCGCTGGAAAATACCAATCATTAAATGCACATCATACCATTTTGCGGAGTAGTCTTAATAAATGCTCAAAGTATGCGGATATTTGGAATGGACAACCCGCTTATACCAGTGATGAGCAAACAATCTGGAGATAAAGGAGAGGTGCCATCCTTAGCATCTTGTACTAGGCCCGGCCAGCTAGTCTACCGATTGTGCTGGACACTGTGGCCAATGACAACCTGGGCAAGATCTGGAGATCTCGGTAAGTAAGGTACAAAGTAAGGTGGATGATGCATGCCAGTGGACTCAAACGCAGTCGTCAAGCTGATTGGCGGGTTTTGACTGTAAGATTGGACTGGTTTATGCCTAGGGGTCCGTAGCGATTAACAGCTGTGCGACCAGACCATGTGTGATGGATCTGATTTGATCGTGTTGCGATGGTACTGTACAGTTCAGTACATGTTTGTTTGCGCTGGGGTTCTGTTGCTAGAAGGGTGCCTTGTAGCCTGTGAACGCTTGTAGAGGGTCCGCTCAGTCGCTAAGAGTTCAAGCTTTTATTAGAAGTAAGATCAATGTAAGAGGTGCAGGGGACTGGTGTCTAGAGTAAAGGCATTCTCAGCCAGTGGACACTTAGAGCTTATAGAAACACCAAGAGAGAACAGTGCTGCACAAGGTAGGTGAAGGTACATACACAGTCCCTGACTGAGAACACCCAAAGATATAATTAGAAGCAATTCAAAGACGAGAAAAGAGCAAAGAGTGAATTAGAAAAAAAAAAAAAAAAGAAAAGAAAAGGCAAAATAAAGCCAAGTTAAGTCCCTGGTTGACACTGTACATATGTTCTAACGGTGTGCAATTAGTTACCTTCGTAGTTACCGTAGTTATGTAACTAACTTACTCGCAGTCAGTGACTAAACCAAATTCCTCCCGCTGATTGCACGGAGGCCGGAATTTCTTTTCAACAGCGAATCCACCCTCTTTCCTTCCCTTTCATCGCGTTTCCACCATCCACCATAATTCCACTGCTTCCACTGCCCTCCACGGACCCTCTCCTTCCCCTCCATTCTAGTCTAAAAGTAACTTAATTTCTTGCTTCGGATTCGACCATATCACCACACCCCTACACCCCTACCTCCCTCCCTCCCTCTTACCTACACCGTACATATTTCGATCTTTCTCCGACAGGTTCCATTTTGAAATCCACCCAAAACCCACATCCACTCCCTCTCCCCCCAATTATCGTGCTACCTCGAGCTGCCACGAGACGTGCGCAGCTCACCGTCACGACGTCTTCCACAAAGCGCCGTAAGGTAGCAGAGCCTCGCAGACCAGGAACACTTCCGGGTTTGTCGTTCGCCTCGCAGGCCGGAAGACGTCACGGTCAACCTCCTAGCTCCGATCGCTCCTCCAACTCCAACTCTTCCTCCTCGGCCTTGCCTCATCGCCGCTCCTCGCCCACCTCCCCTTCGAACCGCAGTCAGAGTTCATCGACCTCACCGCCTCCCCGCTACATTCCCGCCCACCTGCAGGACGAAGTCTTGGGAACCAGATCTCATTCCTCCCCGACCCCGGATCCCACTGGTAGTGCCGTCGACTACCCCTCGGCCGCCTGCGCTGGTTTGACGCTACACAGCGATCCCGCGACCGATATGTCGGGCTCGGACGAAAAGCTTCACGCTCGCGGAGCGTCAGACACTGAACAAGATGTGGTGATGGAACAGGTTCCCGCCTCGAAGGATGGTCAACCTCACTCCGACCAGCCGGATGCGATGGACACCTCTGCGTCGGGAGACGACAACTCAACTGGCAACGAGGACAGCTCCATTTCAGACAATGTATATCCTACTCCGTCCAGCATGTCCACCTATACGGCTTCCACCGAGACACGAGCCCACTCAAAAGCGGAGGCTTCCGTCGCATCCGCTGAGCCTCCTTCCTTCGATGACCAGGTGGCGCAAGTGACCCGGTTCATGATGCAACCTATGCAGAGGAAGCAGAAAGGATATGTGGTGTCCATGTCGTGGTTGAAGCGGGTGTTTGCGCGAAGCTCTACCCATGCAGACCAGGCGGACAAGACCGCTGCCGAAGGGGAGATTGGCCCGGTCGACAATTCCGATATCGTCCTGGTCACTGACCCGGCCAACACAGGCTTCAAGGACGAGAATGGAGAGCCGTTTGTCCCCCTGCGACCGGGCTTGCAGCTTGGAGAGGACTATGAGATCGTGCCCCAGGGAGGTTGGGACCTGATCATGCAGTGGTACGGCCTTGCCGAGCAGTCTCCCGCCATCGTCCGCTACGCTCACAACACCGCACCCCCGGGCGAAGGCGAGAACATTCAATACGAGATCAACCCTCCGATCTTCACGATTCTGAAGCTCACGAACCCGTCCGCTGGAACCACCCCCAAGTCACTCAAGGAGAGGAACATGCTGCCTGTGCGACATCTTGCCAGTAGGCACACAAGTTTCCAAAAATGGCTGAAGCAAGTAAAGAACCTTGCAAGAATCGAAATGTCGACCAAGGTCCGCGTCTGGAGAATCCTGGATGGTCTCGGAAGTGCCACCACCTCCGCTGCGGTCACTCCAGCTGCCTCTCGGACTGCCTCACCAGCGCCTTCCGCATCAACTGCGCCCCACGCTGGGGGCAGTCTTGTGCTCGATCTCAACACCTTTCTTTCCCTTTCCGAAGGCTCGCAGCGGGAGTTGCTGGAAGATGCTACTGATCAAACTACTAACCCCAAATACAACGGTCGCATGCCGTTGGATCTTGTCGGGCTGGGCGGCAGTGATATCGTGGTACTCGAAGAGAGACTTCCTGGGAAACAGGGCGACTGGGTATCCGAAGCTTCTAAACAGACTCTGAACCGCCTGGGGGTGCCAACCGGGAACCTCAAGACCGAGGTGTCTACCAAGGTGAAGACCAAGAGCCCTGCTACTAGTGGGCGCTCATCTCCAGTCCCAGAGCCTGCCAGGGGAAGGCGCAAGGATGGCAAACCCCGTGGCAATACGGGTCTGAGTAACCTTGGCAACACATGCTACATGAACTCTGCCCTGCAGTGTGTTCGTAGCGTGGAGGAATTGACCTACTATTTCTTGAGTATGTATTTCGCCCTCACCGGGCTGGTCTCTTCTTAGACATATGTACTAACAGGTGGTTTTAGATGAGGTGTACAAGAAAGACCTCAACCCCAGCAACCCCTTGGCCCACAATGGTGATGTGGCTAAGGCCTATGCCAACCTGCTCCGCCAAATCTACGACGAGGCAGGTCAGTCATCTTTTGCGCCTAGGCAACTGAAACAAACTATCGGCCGCTATGGTCCGGCTTTCTCTGGTTACGGACAGCAGGACTCACAGGAGTTTCTGCTGTTCCTTCTTGATGGTCTTCAGGAAGACCTGAACCGAATCCAGAAGAAGCCCTATATCGAAAAGCCGGACTCCACGGATGACATGGTCCACGACAAAGCGAAATTGAAGGAGTTTGCCGATAAATGCTGGGAGATCTACAAGGCTCGCAACGATTCCGTGGTCACGGATCTTTTCGCTGGCATGTACAAGTCTACTCTCGTCTGTCCTGCTTGTGACAAGGTCAGCATTATCTTTGACCCGTTCAACAATCTTACCCTTCAGCTCCCGATTGAAAATCTCTGGAGCAAGGAGATTTTCTACTTCCCTCTGAATAAGAAGCCAGCTATTGTGGATGTGGAGATCGACAAGCACGCCAGCATCAAGTCTCTTAAGGAATTGGTCGCCAAGAAGATGGGTTCTGATCCTCAACGCCTGGTCATGTCTGAGATCTACAAGCACAAGTTCTACAAGATGTTTGACAACGCAAACTCTATTGCCGAATGCCAGATCAGCAATAACGACGATATTGCCATTTATGAGGTGGAGTCTGTTCCGACCAACTACAACCCAGACAAACCCCAGAAGAGTTACTTCTCTTTCAATCGGTCAGAACATGAGGCGATTCCGGATATCGATTCTCCCAGGGCGGATCGACTGCTTGTGCCTATCTTCAATCGTTATGAGAAGCCAAGGTCGAACAACCCGAAGAACACCTTGCGGCCCCTGTTCGGTGTGCCTTCCTATGTTGTCATCAACAGGGAGGAGCTCGGCGACTATGATGCTATTTTCCGGAAGGTTCTCGCGCAGGTGGCTTCCATGACAACGCGCGATTTTCTCAACGAAGTCCATGATACCGAGTCCAACCAGGAAGACTCAGATACTGTTGTCATGAACGATGATGACGCAGAATCAGCTGATTCCAAGATCAAGACGTCTTCAGTCGACGGGGAGGATGGGATTGTTGATGTTTCGATGCGCGACGCAGACGACACTCAAGAAGATGCCTCAGCTCGCCGTGAGGGTGCCATTCCTTCAAACCTTCGTAGCTTATTTGAAATGAAGATCATCAGATCGAACGAGGTAGTCCCTCTCGGCTTTTCCTCGGTCGATGACCACAAGGAGTACCCCCGGATGTCTTTCAGGATCAAGACAAAGCCCGTTCCGAAGAAGCAGGAGGTATGTATCAATGATCGTATCGCGTTATCGTTTAGTTTGGGGAATTTACTCACATGCATTATCAGACGGATGCTGCTTCGGAAACAGCCACTGAGAAATCCGATGAGGAAAGCTCGGGTAAACAGAGTCCGGACAGCGCTGCTGGCGATTCTGACGTCTTTACCGATGCCAAACGCCCTGCGCCTGAACCTGTTAAGCCAGCTCCTCCCATGATCCGACCGGGCGAAGGAATCGTGGTCGACTGGACAGAGGATGCCTACGATGCTCTGTTCTCTGGCGATATAGACAGAGACTCTCTCCGTGGTAGCCCGACGTGGACCAACGTTGAGAGGCACCCGGATCCGGAGCTGTCCAAGAAGCGCGCACTCCGGCAGATACGCAAGAAGAGAGGCGTCACTCTGTACGAGTGCTTGGATGAGTTCAACAAGGAAGAGATTCTATCCGAGAATGACGCCTGGTACTGTCCTCGCTGCAAGGAGCATCGCCGGGCTAGCAAGAAATTCGAACTCTGGAAGACGCCTGACATCTTGGTCATGCATCTCAAGAGATTCAGCGCCAGCCGCGGTTTCCGAGACAAGCTTGATGTTCTGGTCGACTTCCCTGTGGAAGGTCTCGATATGAGCGGGCGGGTCGAAGCCCCGGAGGAAGGCAAGAGCCTTATCTACGATCTCTTCGCTGTGGACAACCACTATGGTGGACTTGGAGGTGGTCACTACACGGCTTACGCCAAGAACTTCATGACCGGTCAATGGAACGAATACAATGGTATGCTGCCGCAAGTGCTGCCGATCTGGTTGTCTAGCTGACTAACGTAACCTAGATTCATCTGTGTCGCGACCCCTTGATCCGCAGAGTGTGGTCACCTCGTCGGCTTACCTCTTGTTCTACCGCCGTCGTTCCGATCGACCCCTGGGTGGCAAGGTTCTCGAGGAGATCACCGAGGCATCGACACGTCCAGGTAGCGACGCAGACTCCCAGAGCGAGTCGCGCGGGCAGTCTCCGTCGGGGGAAGGTCGGCGTCTCGGCGGCTCCTCCCGCAATGGGTCGTCGAGCGCATTAGCCGGAGTCGGAGCAGCTCACCAATTGGGAGATGGTGGTTTGCGAACTGGAACGCAAGCGAAGAGCGGGGATGAAGACTCGCCGCCGGAATATTCCAACAGCCCCTCGTATGGCGAGCAGAGCATGGGCCAAGCCAATCGACTGTCAGGTATGGATTTCGAAGACGAGGAGTTCGGACACGGACCGCAACCCAGCCCGTTCCGCCACGTGGACCCGCCCTCGTGGTCATTCAGTCAAATCTCGGATGCTCACGGCCCTTCACAGATGACCGCAGCGCAACGGGGATCGATCTCTGATGATGATTTGCTCGACGACGATGACAGTAACAAGGCCGTTGGGGGCGGTGACGTCAGCGATACCGACCTCCGAATGGCGGCTCTCACTGACAGCCCCGGAGGGGGGTTGGGTTTCCCTGGCACGCCCACGGAGGAGACCTCCTTCCAGGAGCTGCACCCATTCGGTGGGGATGGAGATGACGACGACGACGATCTGCCGGTGGTGGAATTGCAAGTGAACGAGGAAGACCGAATTCTGCCCTAATCTTATGGCGAGATGATTTTCTTTGTCATTTTCTTTTGGAAACGTGAAATGAATGATACACGGTGTTCTCTATACAGCGCCAGGGTCGGGTGATTGTTAATTTTTTGGGCCTTGTGGGGATTTATATGATATCATGGTACGAAGTGGATGATTTCTTATGGTTGCATTCGACCTCCGATGGACTGGATGGGGCCTGGGAAGAGATGGTGGCTTCGTCAGGTCTGGCAAGGATGGGTGGCGAAGGTATGGGGGCTGCATTGCATTTACGGGGATGGATGGGCCGAGAGGCGTCCCTGCATTATATTTGTGGAATGTTCGGGGCAACTGGGGGTGGTTGCCTGACTAAAAGCTTGTTCGTGAATGGAGACGGTAGAGCAGCAGTTGCTGCATCGAACTTTACTTGCCAGGTGGTGTCGTACGGAGTAGAGAGGACAGATGTACAGACGGCCCACGTGAGGTTGTGATACGCTGGTGTCACAATGAGCTGTGATGCATAATTGGTTTGCAAGGGCTAGATAACGGTACAGTACATGACTGGTTGATTGTGCCCTCAGGATGTATTCCAGAATATCTAAAAGTGTTCGGCATATGCAGCCAATACATATTCAAATTGAGCAGTCTAAGAGAATTAATGTTCCTTATGGTCGATCGACATGAACAGAGCCTCAAGTGATCAGCGCCATACGAGCCCCAGTCAGCTGGTAAGGTCGGGGGCGTTAATGGGGGCTACTATAGATAGCAGTGAGGATATGCTGTGGAACGATGACCCGAGGAAGTCTAAGTGAACAAAGAGGCAGCCCCGACCATGAACGTACCTGGTGATAAAGAGAATGGTGTAATGGCCAGACATTTGTACAGCTACCACATATCAATTAAGGTACAAGTACAACAGCCACCGTACTGTACCTGTCGGCCCAGAAGTCTTCAGACAAAGAGCATATCACCCGATCAGGAAGGCACGTGGACTCATTCACTCGCTCACTTTTGGCCTACAGGCTCAGGCTCTTCTCTCATTCTAGAAAGCCTCTACTCTTTTTCTTCTCTTGCTTTCGGCATCTATCCAGTTTCTGGGGCTTTAACTGGATTTTCATCAGGGACTGCAAGCATCCTGTCATCAGGTCCACCTCTTTGCTGCTTATCCATCCATCCTATCTCGTCTCATCCAGACTGCAGATGATAAATCTCCAGTACCACGAGCATCACACCAACAACCGAAGAGAGAATGAAGAACAGCCATGAAATGCCTCTCGCAGCATCGCCACCTCTACCTCCACCTCCGTCAGCATCATCGTCGTCGTCATCTCCTCCTCATCCTCCTCCTCCTCCTCTTCCTCTCCGATTCACTCACAGCCTCCTCAACAAACACAGCACAGTCACGCCTACCTCCCCTACAACCATACCCACAACTACCACAGAGCATAGCTGTACTATGATGACCACGGCCTCGACCACAACCCCAACCCCAAGCCATAACCATCTCCCATCTCACCACCCTAAGCGAACCAGCATACACTACCACCATCACCACCACCACATGCCCTCCCACCCAATAACCATCCCTCCCCGCCACCGCGAACTCTCCCTGACAGATAGCGAAATCAGCATCCTGGATCTGGGGCCCAGTCTTCTTGTCCTGGGCGAGGAAGGGGAGGAAGACGGAAACCCCGAGGAGGTGTATTCGCTTGTCTATGATCGATATCCCAATACCCTTGAGGAGGGGAACGAGAGTTGGGAGGGTGGCAGTTCATTCACGTGGGAGAAGGCGGATGGAGAAGGGAAGGGGAGTCAGATGGGAAGAGATACGCCTGTTCTGCGGGAGGGGAAAGGGAAAGGGAAGGGCAAGGGGAGGATGATTGTTGCGGATGCTGCTGCTGCTGCTGCTGCTGAGAGGGAATGGGATGATAACGGGGAAGCGGGATTGGGGACGCATGCTCATCCTTCTTCGGGTTCTGCTCGTTCGGATGGTGATGCTGGCGAGACGTTGAAGTGTTGGTCTGCGGTTGCTACGCCTACGGGGGTGAGGCTTGGGGTTGGGGTTGTCGGGTTGCGCCGGGGTGGGGGTTTGGATACTAGGTAGTGTATAGATGGAGTCTGCGTTATGGGTGATACTGGGGGTAGATGGGGAAGATGGGCTGAGGAGGTTGGTTTACCAGATGCTAGGTGGTTGTGCCGGCTGGATACGAGTGAATGATTTATGAGAGTGAGTGGAATCAATTGCTTGACTGGAATGGTCGGCTGTAAGTCCTCTTTGCTTTTTTTATAGAGTGCCGTTGCTTTAGTAAAAGTAGTGTATAAATACTTTTTCAATAATTTTACATACTTCAATGGGTATGTAGCATTGTTGTCAAAGATTTAAACAATACACAGGCCAAAATATAAATATTAAGTGAGTTTCCAAAGCTTTAGAAACTATTCAGAAGAAAAGCTACAATATAGAACAGATCTCAAGAGATAGCCTAGCTATACTAGTAGGTAGGGGGTTTTGATTTCACATCGAAAAAACTGCAAAATCTGAGCAGGCAAACGTTGCTTTGCACATATTGGCACAAGGCTGAAACGGCCAAAGCTCTTGAGTGCTGGGCAAGCGATTACTCTGAGAACGCTGTAGAGCACACCCCGGGGAGCTTTGGCTGCCTGGAATCTCAGGTCTTCTTAGAACAGCACTTTTGGCCCCCGTATCCCAAACCATCGGTCTACTGCTTGAATCATACCTTCCAATCGCCGGCCAGATGCGAGCCAAGTTACTATTGCGAAAGAGGCCTTGGTCCCAGAGATACAGGCTCTACATTCAATAAGCCAATGTGGAAGAAAACAGAAAGGAGCAAGGTCAGGCTACGCACCGTGCTCACCAGCGCACGGTTGACCCAGACAACAACCCTCCTTCCGGAGTGTCCATGTTCCCGAACGGAATGTTGTGTGGGCTGGGTCTGCCATCGATGTGCGAATAGGCTCTTTATCAGACTGTGAACTGCAATGAGTATCTGTCGCTCATAATGACCGAAGGATACATTTGTAGCTTGAACAACGCCACGCTGACGGCTATGAACTGTGCCCCCAGCTGTGAGGCTTCGATTGCACAGTTGCATGACTCAGCCTCTGCTGATTGCGGGACATCAGCCGAACTCATCCCCGGCATCTCCTTCTTGACACTCGTCGACGAGCCCTGGAGCAGCTGGCATCAGTCTTGCTTCATAGACCCTACAACGGGCGATTGAATGCAATGGTGAGTGAGAGAAGCCTGGCCCAGACACCTTGTAGAACCGTAAAATACTTTGGCTCCTGGAGTAGCTTAGTCCTGTGATAAACATCCAGGAAGTGCCATTGCCTTTTCTGTAGATCACCACTTGCCGAGACCGGAATACTAGTAGCACTTGAGTGCGCAACAGCCTGGAAAAGCAGGCGATGCCGACATGATCTTCGGAGATTTTTTTCAAGTATACCGCGACGCTGTCTCCGTCCCCCTCCCTCCACCCACTATTCCCCACAAAACTCATTCTGGATACTTAGGGCTTTCACCGCATTGTTATTATATGAGATCACAGTTTCTCACCTCATATTCCAGGTCACCCCGTTCTTACGCACTTGCCCTTTTCTCGCCTGACTCTGTGCCATAAATTGGAGCCCAGGGCGCAGGCACGACCTGCTGTTCTTCTTCCCTTGGCACTTGGACACTGCCTTTCGAAGACGATGCTCCCGGAAGACCCCTACAAGACATTATTGAATAGTTGTATTCAAGTTAATGACCCCCAATCCACCGTCCCGCCGTTCGTTCGAATCCGACCTTTATAAGCGAGAACAAGTCAACGCGTCCTCGCCCGGATTCAATTTTGCAGTTGATCAAGACACCCAGACGGTCATAATTGATAAACAATCATCGATTGGAGGAGATATCAAGATCCGTGTAGGGTTACAGCGCGGGGTGCATTCGGGGTAGAAATGTCCGAATACCGAGCTGTCCCTGCCTGCGTATCTGACTCGTCAAGTCCCTAAAGACTTGATGAATATTTATCTGCGCTCTTGTATGCATGACTCGCACTAGACTAGAGGAGGGATCCTGAACCCTTACCTCCGATCCAAAGCAGTAAATCCCCGGCGAGAGAAACGCTAGAGTCGACAATCAGGTTGTGACATCACAGATCTTGACTTCGGCAGCCCCCGCAAAGTACCCCGCAAACTAGGGGTTCAACGATGATAACGCCGGCCTGTGCTGTAGTTGTGGAAGAGTTCCTAGAGATATGCGGGGACTAATTCACAGCCCTACTATTTTAGCCAAATAGAATCTTCACCGGTGGTTTCGAAGATCTCTCCAATTGTTCAGGTACTAATTACGTTTCTTAAAAAACTTATTAAACCAAGTTCCGCCCCTTATGAGTTCGTTCAAGTGCTAAGCGGGCCACCACCGCAGGTGAACTACAAAAATAGAATAAGAGGCGCATTCTCATATATCTTCTCAACACTTCATATACTCTCCTCCAAGATCAGAGGCCTATTTGCTGGAAAGAATAAATAATTCAAGATGAAGGGCGTTATCTCCCTTATCACTGCCTTTCTGGGTAGTTTGCCTGCAGCTGCTCTGGTGACGGCGTCAAGCCTACACGAAAAAGCATTCGAATACAAAGCTGGTTATTTGGCAGTGTATTGGACAACCGAGGATAACAGCGTCTACTTCGCTCTTAGCAACAACGATGATGCCCTAGGGTTCCAGGCTATCAATGGAGGCAACCCGATCGTGTCGCCTACGCTTGGGACCAAAGCTGTTCGTGATACATCCATCATTGCTGGACAGGGTAAAGATAGCGGGAAATACTTCATTCTCGGCACGGATTTGAATATTGCAGAGGTAGGACACAGTAGACCTTTCTCCTTGCATGTAGCGTTCGCGAACAAGGATGCTAACTTTGTCTAGACAACTTGGGCCGCCAGCCTTCGCAACGGATCTCGGGCTCTCCATGTCTGGGAGAGCACTGATCTGGTCACTTGGGGGAACGAGCGACTAGTGACGGTGGAGGATGATACTGCTGGGATGGCCTGGGCTCCTGATGCTGTTTGGGATGAAGAAAAAGGTACGTACTTAAGGAATACTTAGGGGGCGTTATCAAAGTGCTAACAGGAAGTAGGACAATACTTTGTTCACTGGGCGGCACGGCTGGTAAGTTCATTCACTCTTCCACTAGTGTTACAATCTCTAAGGATATCAGTATTCTGCAGATGACCCCGGCCACACGGGCGCCCCGACTCTAAACACGAGCCTACGGTATGCCTATACCAGCGATTTCCAGACATTTAGCGCACCACAGACATACCTGACACTCGGTGCTGCTGATGCGCTTGATATGAGCCTCCTCAAAGCTAGCGACAACAAGATTCTCCGATTCTATGTTGATGGAAACGTCGGAGGCCCAGTCGTACAAGTCAGCGCCAACGGTCTTTTTGGCGAGTGGGATACACCTGCGGGGACTATTGAGCAGAGTTATCACTTTGAAGGTCCGTATCCATTCTGGGACAATCAAGAAGCTGGCCTGGCATATCTCCTATGTGACAGGGTGGGAACTGTAGGGAACTACGCGTGGCAGTCGCAACATGTGACTTTGGGTTCGTTTATCCAGAACAACACGCATGACTTGACGTTCATGCGGCATTTGTCAGTCCTGTCTGTGACCCAGGACCAGTATCAGCGATTGTCGGCCTTGTAAGACAAGGAACCGAGACTGGGTCAATTGTCAAGCAGAAGCTCTTGATCTCTTATAACCTTATGGTGGATGCTCCTAGTAATACCCCGGTGCAATAGTTGGCATAGAACCATACTGAGCATGTGCTCGTTCTTGGCGTGCTACAAACAGGAGAGGACTGTAGTTGAGTCCTGGTTATAGCATTCGAGTATATAGAGGCTGGAAACACCCGCCAGTTCATCCAATGTGGACTCGACAAGAAAACATAGCTGTCGAGTCTATGCAGCATCATCCAATCTTTCTCCGGCAGACCAGGTTCTCTATTCCTCATCAGCAATATGACCCTCTCACTCAGCCAATCTTCAAGAACCCCATGCCACTACGCACGAATAAGCTAATGGCTGAGAGGGAGGAACCGCGCAATGGGCTCACTCCTTACAGCAACATAAAGAAAGGCTAACTACTTCACCGCAACTGTACCTTAGGATAAACCTACGGCCAGTCTGCCTATCAGAAGCAGGGCAATTCCTTGGAGTCATCAGCAACCTGCCGGGACCGGTTGCAAGTTTGACGCACCCTTGAGGCATAATGAGAGAATTTACCGGATGTCATGTCAAGATAATGTTCAGTAAAGATCAGTACGGCACGTGGGTCATGATTCCTCTCATTAACTCCGCAATGACCGGTCAATCCAATCGCTTGTCCTTAGAGCCTAGAACATTGTGGATAAGGGCACTGAAACACCGCCCATCCACCTTTCCATGACAAGCATGGACAAGATACCACCGAGGCCAGATGATCAACGGTCTTGCCGATTACCGGTTCTTCGTGCTGTATGCGGACATGCGGTGGGGTTCCTGCCTTACACGAAACTAACCCAGACAACCCTCCTAAAGCTAACTCGTCGGAACGGCGGAGTTACAAAAGTAGGAGTAAGATGATCGAACCATATAATTCTCTTCTCGTTTGGTGACATTGGCAAAGACATTCACTAAGCCCTAAATTGAGAACCCTCTATGTTCAAGATGAACTTGACTTGGACCGCAGGAGCGACACCAAAGCATCCTTGTCTATGTACTTTGTCGAGTTTTTCTCGGCGGTTTCAAAGTGTCTCTCGGTGATTGCAAGATCAGGATGATCCTCCAAGAATATGTCAATGGTGTCCAAGCGTGACCTTTCCACAATATCTTAATCACGTTTTTAATAGCATCCGTAATAGGCGACGCGCTTTGCAGGCCCAGACCAGACGGGATTTCTTATCCAGCCTCTGTCCGGCGACTGCCCAGAGGTTTTCTCTTGGACGGTTGCCATCAATTCTTGCAGCCTGCGGGGGACACACATCAAGATCGGTCTTTATTGAGGTGCGATCGCGATGGGTTATGCTTGGAGGCGCAGGCTGTTCGTCATTCTTCTTACGGTCATTCAACCTAGCACGTAATCGTGAAAACGTCCTGGAATGCTCTCTAGACTGTTGCTTTCCATGCGCAGAGATGGAGGGGCTGATATGGAGGAGGCTGGACGTCAGCTTGCCAAGGTCATGCCCTAACTTACGTGTACGGAGTGTGTTGCCCGACGTGCATGCATATACTAGCCTCAAGCGGGGCGGCAAATCTTAGTTTCTCATTGGTACATGCATATGTTATGTACTGTACTGTAGCAAGCTACGGAACCCATCAAGGGCCGCTTCGCCATAGTTCGCCCTATTTTTGCTTATTTGCAGAGTGCTAGCTTTGCAACTCTATAAGAGCCAGATGGCGGGTCCCGGACGATGATGGTCGGGCTTTAGATGCTGATTGGCTGCTTTGATAACCGCAATATGTCTCGGGAGTATGATTAGCTGCTGCAAGCAGCAGTAGTGTGATGAAATGCTTAGCCCAAATCTGGTGGGGGGATCGGGAGGGGGGACAGACTGGCTTGGGCCCCTCCAGCATCAGATTCAGACATACGGCCTGAATCAATACACAGATATTTGGAATAGTAAGAACACTCAAAGAGATGCTTGGAAGGTGCTTGGACAGGTTTAACTATCTTACTTGCTTGGAGAGAGACTTGATAATCTAAATTGGAACCAACTAGCTACAGGTCCACTATGAGCGCGTGGCAACGCCTTTGGCTGAGGGAGTCACCCGCAGAGAAGGCCCTCGTCCCTTAACTGATAGTGATAGTAGGGTAACTGCGCTTTTAAGGAGAAGAAATACTCACTCTGGTCACCTCAGTATATAAGATAATAACTTAGGTGTTTAGATGGCTGGCTCGGGTGTGAACAACAGTATCACTAACCGACTCAGCACTTGACTACTTTAGGCACCTAGAAAGTGCTTGTTTCTTGCCAATTAGTCACTTTCTAGTACTTCTGCAAGAATAAGTAGTTTTCGCGGGCTCGATATCCCGTTGGCGCCAGGGATGAGGATCACCGAGGGAAGGGTGAGACCGGCAGGGCGTTTGAGTTTGTTCGATAAGCGTGCTGCTGTTGCTGCGCCTGCAAACAAACGCCCTGGCTCTGCGCCTCGTTGCAGCACAGACCCTCGCGTGTGAACCCCCAGTAGCGGAACGTGGCCACAGGTTGCTATTTGCTTTTGCTTCAGCCGAGGTGATACGAGGCAGACCGAGCGTGCATACGTGGATACGGCAAGTAGCATGCTGTGGCTGCGAATTGCTTTTTCTTTCCCAGCGCAAAGCAACGAGGTTTTTTTCGCTTCAGCATAGAGCCCGAGGGTTCGTATTATCTAGGTCTAGTATGCGCCCATGTTAAAATGCATTCAGATGGACTGTTGATGATGAACATACATTCCAACCCATTATACGTATACTTAATAACCGCGAGGCAAATAGGCGAGTTGGTGTCTCCACCTTGGGACCTTAGCTTCTCTTATCTCGCCGATGAAATGGAGAAAGGCTAATTTTGACGTACATAGCCATGTGTTGATCTTGATGGATGGGGTGACGTGGCATGCCATGTCAGAAGAGCCAATTCCAACCCCTGCATGTTCCCCTTCGGGAACTCGGTGATTTATCTAGCTGTATAGAATGGCGATGCAATCCACTCTTAGTGAATGAGAATGAGAAATGTTGGGCCTGACCTGGAAGGGCAATGACCGAGTCTTGTTCTTTTGTATGCCTTGCCTTCTTATCTGAGTCGCAAGCATATGGCAATGGAGTCATCGTCCTCCGTGCGATGCCTCGAGTACACGCAGTCAGGGGATCTGACCAATGTGACCTATCCCCTGCCAAACGCTGATATCAATGGAGTTGGGGTGAGAGCGATCTCAATGCATGGTACGAGAAGTAAAGAGACTCACCGGATGGAATTCTTCTTAGGTTCTCGTCGCCTTTCTGTTCCCTGCCTATCTATCATGGCTGGGGGCCATTCTTTTGTACATCGGCGGACTCACCTCGCAAGATCTACTCAGTGATTTCGATATCCTTTACCTCCAAATCCAAGATCGCACGAATAACAAGTGGCACGGCGAGTTCCACATTGCCATATTGACGCTGAGCGCCCAGCAGTTGGTCACTGGAATCGGGATCCTTGCTGCGGCATTTGCCACCCTGTCGACCGCGCTGGTCGCCGACTTTCATACGATCATCTATCTGGCCTGGATGTCCTCGAACGGCTATCTCGCGACCCTGACCCTACTCCGCGATTATCTGCAACACAATCCGGCGATCCGCGCCATGAAACTGCTCACCATGGTGACATTGCTCGCCATGCTGTGCGTTGCCATCTTCCCCACCACCAACTTTGAATGGGCGGATCATATTCTAATTCAACCGGCGTGCGCGAATGCATCCTCATGCGTAGCCCTGGAAACGGAGGTCCTGCCGATGTGGCGGATCGCCAGCCGCACCAACCTGCAAGGCATGCTGAGTCCGCAGGGGGTCATCTCATATTTCCTCCTGATCGTCAGCTATACCTGGCAAGCGGCGATGCTCTTCGAACCGACGCATCGCCGCACGGGTCGAATCATACGGACCCCGCTGCGCTGGCTGGCGCAAGCGCTCCATGGCGCCGCGCGGCGACGATTAGCCCCCCCGCACCGTCACCTCCACGACATCCACTACCGCCTCCTGCTGGGGATCTATCTCTTTCTCACAGCCTCTCTCGACTTCATCGGCTCCTTCGCGTGCTTCCTCGGCATTGTGACGGTGAGCTTCGCGTGGGCGAACTTCGAACTCCTCCTTCCGCGACTCCACGTCTTCCCTAACTGCGTGCGGCAGGCCCTCAATCAATGGGATTTTGGCCAGATCCTCCCCCTCTTGCTCCTGCTCAGCTCCTTTTACAGTTTCATCGAGCACTATCTTCACGAAAGGGGGATGAAGCCGACGAGCAACAACAACAACAACAAGCCCACTGCCCCGCCGGCGATGTCCCCCACACCGATTATAAAGTCCACCACCGGTGTCCCCTTCGCCTCGTCTTCCCCCCGCCTCTCCGAAATCTTCCTCCAGTATGACCCTTCGCGAGCAGAAGCTCTCCAGGCTACGGTCCAGCGCCAACTCTACGCCATCCCGTATTTCAAGGTCCTCCTAGGCCTGTTCTGTCTTCTGGCCGTGGGCGCCGCGGTCGGCTATTTTGCCGAGACGATCATCGCGTTGACGGGGCCGAGTGAGCCGTACTCGTGGTCCACCCGGGACTGGCATCTGCTTCCGGATGTCGTCGCGGCCACGGCGGCGACGCTAGGGATCTTGGTGGTGGCGTTCCTAGGTCCTTTGTGAGCGCCAGGCTGGCTGCGTGAACCTTGATCGATATACTCGGATTAGAATGGGATGTCTGGAATCATAAGGGGCTGATGTAAGTTTGTCTAGGATACTAGCCATAGAGACTGAATAGTAGATAGTAAATAAACCTGGAGATCCTGATATTAGTCTAGTCCCTGATCAGCGGACAGCAGACATCGACATCAAATCATGGGGACTGTTCAAGGTTGACATTGACAGGCACCGTACCTATAATTGTGGATGAGTTGGGCCTGGAAGAGACCTTGATTCCTCTAACACTTCTCCGCGGCGCTCTGGATGGCAGGGTCATTCAACAATCACGACAAGGTCCAGTGAGTATGAATAGTCAGTGGTTGATATTGAGTGTAGGTTGACAATGAGATGTATCCTGCGATGGGAGAAACGTATTCAGACGTAGACGCGCAGTCAAAGTACTACTATGCATCTTACTCACGTCTCAGACACATCACACATAATCAGGTTCGGGACCCCGTATATTATGGTTGAAGAATACAAGATTCACGTGCTATCTGACTAACAGTCTCCCTACTACCTTCCACATCCTAATCCAAGCAATCATTTCGTGTCCATGCGCAGGCTCAATTGATTAAGTTTTTGATCTGATCATGGTAGTCATCAATTGACATGACATCGGTCCTCGGTAAGACTGGGGCCGTTTTGATATACTCCCTGACTGATGATTGAAATTATCGCATTAGCAGATGATATAGATTTGGGGCATATGTGGGGCCTAGGGGAAAAAGACTCATACCACCCTTATAGAGCTTTTTCCACTCATCAACAATAGTTTGGAGCTGGTACTCAGCAAAGTCCACGCCGGGGATCTTGTTTTCAAATCTCTCCGCGGTATCGTGGACCACCTTGACCTCAGCTCCTATCAAGTTCCAGCCACCCTCGAGCTTCTCGGCCGTCTCTCTAGCCGGACCGATGAGTGCTTTCAGGTCCCGGCATTGATTCTAAACAACGGATATTAGTTCTAAGAATCTCTTGCTAAGCAACCCGGGGATGGTGAGCTTACCGACATCGAAGTGACATGGCCTTGTAGTAGCTGATGCAGTGCAATCTTTTCCTGCTCGGAGCTGATCAGTTCCTTGAGGGCCGCAATCTTCTTCTCGTATTTCTCAATATCTGCCTGTCTTTCCGCGAATACGATGGAGCCAGCAATTGTCCCCATGATAGGGCTATGGCCAACAGATTAGTTGGGGGGTTGGCAGGGGCGCACAGGGTGCTACCTGGTGAGTGAGGGAGTGAGCAAAACTTACATCCAAACGTATGCTGCGGTCATTTCTTGATCATAGCGATCTAAAAAGCCTTCAAGTCGACAATCTGAGGGAAGAGTTAGACGAGCTTCGTTTCTGGGACTGACCCGCATCGATTATTTTCTGATCGGCGTCAATATCCTTAAGCTGCGATACAATCTTTTGCTGCAAATCGCTGATGTCTCCCAGATCATCGTTGAGAATGGTGGTCATGCTAGCTTCAGAGTCCCCGAGCGCACTCTCTCTCTTCTCACAGGCTTTTTCAAACGCAGCCAGGGCATCCGAGACCTTCTTAGCGTGGCGCTGCATCGGTTCGATATCACTCAGCAAATCCTCCGTGACATCCTGAATGGCTTTCTGGGCCTTCTGCCTCTGCTCCTCAGTTGCGTCTTCATCATTGTACTCCCTGCACTTGTCGAGCATGAACCGATAATAAGAGCTGTCATCCGCCCCGGCGGTGTCTGCGTACCCGTAAATCTGCGACGCAAGGGTGTTCATCTTATCGAAAGTACAGAGGGCATCAAAGGCGCTGTCATCGCCATCATCCTCTTTCGTCCACTGTCTGCGGTTTTCAGAGCTACTGTCACCACCAAGGAAATCGGTGCAGTCCTGGCAGATCTAAAGGAGTCCAAGTCAGCACGCTCAAACTATATTATCATGCAGAGACTCGACTTGCCTCGTTGTAAGTCCCGATCAAACTATTAATCTGGGTCCAGATGTGGTCGGTGAGCTTGCTCTGGTCCAAGATGCCAACCTTCTGACAGAAACTGTCTTTATCGCGTGGTAAAACTCGTCCACCATGGAGATATCGGTTCAATTTGCCCATGTCCTCGGCGGCAAACGCAAAGGTGGCCCCATCATCGTCGTCGTTGTCGTCATCACCATCCTTCACGGCACGGCTGGTCCGTCGAGCAGCGCGCGAAGGTGTTTCCACTGTCTGTCCGATGGGGAACCATCTTGTTTCGTCGTCGCGGGCTTTGGACATCTTGGGCCGTGCGGATCTAGCCGGTGTGAATATGAAGATGAGGCAGGTTGAGAGGTTAATGAGTGAGATGTAGAGGATGCGGCACGGTCATTCACTTTGAGAGAACTGGTTACTTATGGTCTGAGAAGGTCACCGACACGTATGGTCTGTAAAGCCTAATGACGCGAGCTCCGCTCGAACTATTCTGTAGCCGTCTGGCTCCGAGTTGCATGTGCAGCCATGCCGTGGGAGCGTACAGCAAGGCTGGGTTGCAGCATTGGGTCGATCGGCTGGCTGCCTTGTTGCTTTTTTACCTTGTTCAAACCATGGGAATGCAGGATATGGCTAGTTCAGATCAGGAATCAAATGTGACATGATGTGAGTCTGACATGATGGATGATGATTCCACGAGAGAACTGGTTGTGGTGTTTGTCCGAAGCAGGGAATTAAATCACGCACTGCACGCAGTGTAACCCCCCAGCAGCAGAATGATGTAGCTAAGTTGCGAACAGTCACTGCCAGTCACTGCCAGCGAGACCTCAATCAAATTTAAGAACATCACCCGCGTCAACCAATTCTCTCCGAGATACGAAGCAAATGCTTCTCGCCAACTCAATCTATACAGTTCTCAGTCGATTGGATTGATGCAGCATGGCTACCGACACACAGCCTAACAATCCCGCACAATGGCAGAAATTCAGCCAGATGAAGCAGGTGAACGACAGCCCAGACCATGAGTCCAAGGATGAAGACAATGCAATGGTGTGAATCGAATCCCCTGTCGTATTTCCCCTTTCCAATCTTCCAAGCCCGCTCTAAAGATCCTCCTTCGTTCGCGTGCAGGGACCAACCTACCGTTCTGTCTTTTGCGATGGAACACCCATCCTGCAGCAGCTCCCACGCTACTGTGAGATTTACACCGATATCCTCGCATTGACCGCGCCCGAGATCCAAATGTCGGCCGACGAATTGACCGAGCTCGAAGTCAATGCCCGGGTGATCACCGCCGACCAGCCCGTCCATCTCAATATGTCCAAGACCGGCGCCAAGAAGTGTATCATGGTGATTTATGCCGCCGTTCTCGATCAGGCGATCAGTGTTTCGATCGAGGGCGATCAGCGCACGGAGCTGGACCTTGGAGTGGATTCCGGCCACTTGCAGGCGGAGATCAAGTTCGACGATGGCAAGCTGGAGGTCTCTTACAGCGACCGACACGGGGACGACCGGACCGCGGCCTACCAAGCCTTCCTGGACACGGAACTGCGAGTCGCCCTCGCGGTCTGCTGGTCATCCCCGGCCGTCGCCATCTCGATCTGCTCGTGGGTGGCCAAGTCGGTGGCCACCGCGGGCTCGCATGCGCTGTCCCAGGCCCAGGCCGTGTCCCTGGGCCAGCAATTGGCGGCCCATGCCATGACCGGTTCCGACTCCTATTATGCTCCGACCCTCACCTTTGATGAGTATGTCCTCACGCTTGAGACCCAGCGACAGGCCGCCGAGGATTTCCAGGACCAGTACGAGCGCTTTCAGGCCGCCGAAAACCAAGTGGATGACGCCAAGGCGGCGGGGGAAGCCCTTCTGGCAACCGTTCAGAACACACAGTCAACCAGAGTCGATCTACAGGCGCAGGCCTTGGCCAAATATCAGGCGGCAGCCGCTACCGTCGAAGCCTGTGACAAAATGCTTAGTGATGATGATGAAGAGCTGAGACATGCACAGGACAGGTTCCAAGACGGTCTCGATGCATGGATACAGAGGCAGACCTTCCTGGCAATTTGCACCATCCTTGGTGCCATCTTTCGTGGGTGGCTCTCCCTCCTTAACTGAACCCCCATCACGGGGGCCATATTCCTTGAACTGACATGTCCGCGTTCCGCCGCCGCCTTTAGAATTTGCGGTCGGAATTTACGCCGTAGGGAAGGGGTCGGGCGACCCAGCCGCGGTCGAAAAGATCGTCAAAGACGTTGAGGAAGCAGAGAAAACGGCAGGGGCTGCGGAAGATGTCATCCTCGGCTCGAAGGCCTTCAATAATCTGTGGGAGTATACCAAGGCATTGGGGAAGCTGTTCCCCAAGATGGTCGATCTTGTCAGTGCGGCGGGCAAGATTGACCGTCTGGGAGATCATGATGATATTGACCTTCCGACCTTGGGCGGCGACGTCTCCGGCTCCGATGGAACGGATGCAGACGCCAGCTTGATTATGAGCCTGGTCGCTTGGGACGAGTGGGAGTTGGAATCCGACCAACAGATGGAATGGGCCACCTCGCAACATGATCCCGCGATCGACGGAGCCAGTGAGTACCGCTTGACGCTGCGCAAGCATGCGGTGCACGGCCGCGCATTGGCCCAGGCCCAGGCCGAGGCTGTCAAGCAAGGCCAGGGATATATCCAGGCCACCCTCCTGGTGCTCGAAGCCAACCGCGACATCGAGGCCATCGACGAACTGCTCGCCCACTACGAGGAAGAGAAAGATGCATACGCTCAGGCCGAAGCGAAGTTCTACGATCGATACCTCCAGCTGCGGACCACGCTCGCCATTCAATTGCAATATGCGGTCGATGCCTGTCGCTTCTACACTCTGGAAGAACCCGAGGTCAATCTGGACTCACAGATGTCGGTGGACGAGATAACCGCCTGCATTGCATATCTACGGGGTGCGATGCAAGATGTCAAGAATCAATACGCAAATGGATACACGCGTGGGTAGAATCCAGGTTTCGGTGGCGTTCTAGGGGTTCGCACAGCTAATCCGTGTCTTCGACTCAGCTACTACTCCTATCACATTTTCTGATGAGGTACGAGCCCGGCGGCCCAGGAAATGATTCAACTCTGGCTAGTTATCCGACGACCAAAACTGACGAGAACACACTTCGTAGTTAGCATCCAGTTTTCCCGAGACGGTTATCGCAGGCCTGAAGAGCAGTGCGCAAGGGTATAGTGCCACGTTCACGCTCTTGCCCATTCCAGGCGCCAACTACGACCCCGGCCCGGAGAACTACGCATATCCCTTCACCGGTGGTTTCCACTACCGTCTGAATGGCCTGGAGCCTCGCCTGCTCGGGGTGAAGCCCACGCCCGACGCGGTGCACGATGGCCGCGCGTTTGTGCGGTTGCGCATCGAAACCTCCGGGACCTATTCGGATCTCGGGTATGACGCAGACACGAAGGAAACCAAGGTCTGGCATTTTGTCAGCAAGCCCCGACAGAACCGCTATGTCTACGCGGTTGACGAGTCGGGCGCGTGGCTCCGCGACGTGGAGCGAGCCACATACGATGACCATGAGCACGCTCAACCTCCCCCGTTTACACTCTGGAAGCTCACTCTTGAAAACCCCGACGATCTGGATTTGAGTACACTAGGAAAACTGGAGCTACACTGGGACGCGTTCTACCGGCCGGTCTTCTCATTATGATTTCATGTGTTTTCGTCACAACTACCGTTGCATCCTGTCGTTGCGGTGGATCCAAATCAAGAGTTTTGATTACACACGGTATCATGTGTGCATGATCACTGGGAAAGGCCCTATCCAATATAATTTACTGTTTGTAGGCATCCAGAAAATCATTGACTGGCCAATCAAGTCAGCACCAGGCAGTCTTCACAAACAGGGTACATCGGACCTTGACATACCATCATTCTCCAGGTTCTTCCATTTACGCAGAATGGTCGCTTTTACCAGGCCATCTAAAGGGTCATCATCCGGATCAAGGTGATCCTCGACGTACTTCAGCAGCACGTCTATATCATCTGCAATAAGGTATGCAGCTCCTGCTTATCACGTTAACGAAAGGCTAGATGACCACAAATGCCAGGACATACCAGCCATCTTCTGAACCTCCTGAAGCGAATCCTGTAAGTCATCGATCATGGCAAACCCCTCGAGCAGATTCTGATTGGAAGGTCCATTATAAGCACACAGACAGCCAGCCACTGTCGAGATCTAAACTTACCCTAGTCCAATCCAAAGCATCAAGATCCATTTGGAGGTCCTCGGGATCGGAGATCTCATCTTTCAAAATGTCGGCCAAGGTCGTTCCCTGCAAAGGGGCAGCTAGTTCATGCACATTGGTCTCACATGCCTCCGCATCCAGGCTGTAAGCTCTCAGGTTCGAGCTCCAGGCGTCCGCCTGGTCTTTAAGTATGTCGATTTGGTTCTTTCGATCGTTGATCTCTTGTTGGACCTTATTCCGAAGAACGTCGTTGTCCGGGTCTTGTCGCAATGCCTCCATGTCCTGAAATATCTTGTCTGTTTTTTCAGTTCAGCGTGAGTGCTTCGGTTTCAACGTCTCTTTTCGGGGGCGGAGACTAAAATCGACGCACCGTAGTCGTCCGGCGCTGCAGAACAAAGGTTTAAGGCGGTATCGCACACAGTCTCGGTATAGTTGTACTGTCCCTGTCACATAAAGGGGTGTGATTGTCAGTTTGTAAAATGGAAGCACGTCTGGGGAGGGCTGAGTTGTGTCCCCTTGAAGCAGCAGCGACGCGTGATTCTCAGCGTACATTGAGGTCATTAGCGACTTGCCGGGCCTGGTCTACCGTTAGTGAGTGTGAGGGGCAGCGTGGAATATGGACTGAGAAATACCGTCAGGAATTGGACAGGAATCGGTTGCAAGTATGATGAAAGCTTGACAAGCAGTTAGCCAGGAGGGGAAGGGCCTTTGTCCGCGGAATCTAGATATATTGAAGTAAATCATGTCTCAGAAAGGACATACCACCCCATAATAGGCTTTATCCTCAAAGCCAGCTTGTTGCATCAGGCTGTCGTCAGAATCGGGCAGTTTCTCATTCCTGATGCAGAGATCTCCCAGTTTGCGAAAGGAAGCAAGCTTGCAGACAAACCCATCATTGACCAGCATCTCGCGTGGGCTGAGGAAGTCTGCGTCGTGGGGCATTTCGAGAAGTGCTTCAGTCTAGTGTAGAGATTATTGAACGGCGTAGCAGGGTGTTGTACTGTATCTAGGGAGAAAGAGCAGTTTTTAAACTACAATGGAGAGCAGGAGGGTGCTTGCGGAATCCATGATCTCATTATTAGTAGCCCTTACCCCGCTCACAAGAGCTGCAAGGTGAGAAAGATTTTGGAACAACGCATAGCTCACAAAGGTCATACATAGAATTATGAATTATTCCTCTACACTAAGCAGTGTGGATTATTAGAGAATGATCTGGATAGTATACTATTAAGATAACAAACTGTTGTTATATACTATAGCTGCTACTATTTTTATTTATCTAATATAAGACCTGGTTGTCTGTCTAAGACATTAGGATAAGCTGGTATAAGCTTGTATACCTGCCCTATCTGTTTTGCAAAATGAATGGTTTTGCTCTTAACTTCCCATGAAATAGTTCAATTGGTTCTATTTATTCGGTAATTATATATGCAATTTACTATTCTCTTGATTCTCTTATTTATTTTTATAATGTATGTACTTTTCTTTACTTCTATTTTACTTCTACCTACTTTTGTACATAAGTAAAAGATCCGTGAAAGCTCAATAGAAGTCCTAAAATCATAGTTTATACTTGGATACTGTTCTGTGGTTTGTTCTATAGAAGGGTCTATCAATCGCACTAAGGACTCAATAGATTGTTTATATTGATGTTACTGTTATCGCTTCTACTGTATAATATATAGTGCTTTATGATCAAACAGTGGTATTCTTGTTCTTACAGTTGAGACAATATGGTTGTGATAATTGCCTTCTGTGTGCACTTCTACTCTAAGATCTTTGATTTGATCTGTGACTTTTTGGCTTGAAGACAGGTCAGCTACTGATTGTGGGGGGGAAATACTGTACATTCTACTATATACACAGACAGAAAAGAAGTAAGAATAATTATTCCAGCTAAGCTTACAGCAACAAGTAAAATAGCACCATGACCCATCTACCCTAGTCTTGCCTTTTAAGGGCTATGTCAACACACCTCCTACACACTCACCCACTCCAGTCTCACGAGACCAAAGCTATACCCAAAGCACCTCGCCCCTACATTGCAAACCCAACCATCAACCCAATCTAGGCCATAACTCCAGACCCCTAGAACCCACGAACCCAGCAAATAACCCTCTTAACTCAACGCCAACCGAGCAAGCCCTACCCACCCAACTCAAACCTCCCGATCCCATCACCGCCTCATGATTCCGAAGACCAAGTCCAGGGGTTCATAGGTGTCACAAAGGCGTCCCAATAGTCAGGAAGAACCACCCCGGCTTCGGCCGCTTTCTTTTCTAGATTCGGAGAAAGATGATTCTGTTAGTTTTTCGGGACAGCATTTTCAATTCCGGGTCTTCATTTGGGGGCTGTTTTTTTTCAACGTGATAGATGGATATAGAAGGGATGTAGTTTTACTTTCCGCGTCAAGCAAAAAACACACGCCTATCAAGAGGCCGATGGCACTGAGCAAGAAAACTCCTATTATGATACTGCTTCCGGAGCAGGGGCATACGCCTGGGTCGAGGTTTAGATTTGGAGGATGCATTGGAAGGCTTGGTATGTGATGTTGTGGCAGGGGGAGGAACGCACGTTTGCGGCTTTGGGTTCCTGCGTATGAATTCCTGGTGGAAGGGTTGCGCCTGCGTTTGCGTTCGCGTTTGAAGGCGGTGGTGAGGAAGGTGATGGGCTTGAACGAAAGGCTGGATATGGCTGCAGTGGGCTGGTGGAGACGTTCTGGTTCTGAGATTGTGGCGGTGGCGGTGAAATTGGCTGGGTTGGTGAAGCTGATTCCGAAGTTGTCGTCGTAACTAGGTGGGAAGTGGTCGAGCTTGTGGACTTCTTCGCTGCCAGATGGGTCGATGGCGATGTACGCGGGTGGTGGGATGGTCATTGTTGAGGGGTGATCTTCAGGGTTTTGGTATGGCGGTGGATTAGATTCTTCGGGCCCCATGATTGTAGACGGGATACCTCTAGGGCTCTTCTTTATAGGTTTGCTTCTTTCCGGGGGGTAGGTCAAAGGAACAAGGAACTGCTAAAGCGAGATCAGCCAGTGTAGAGATGCTTATATAGCTAGGTCTGCAGCGCGGTTGCTTTGGTCAAGTGACGAAGTGACTTCATTATTATCACCTCTGTCGGTTTCTTTTAGTGTAAAGATGATGTAAATCATCCTCAACGCGTAGGAAGGATATAGTATAGATATCAGCTGCTGGAGCTTGAAGCAGATGTAATTCATCTTGATACTGTGCAGAGTCTTGATCTTGGGTGATAAACTAATATTGGTATAGACTTCTTATAAAGCTTCATCAAGCAGAAGCTATATTCAAAGTACCTCGCTTGAAGTATATGAACTCGACTACAACTTATAAGCCAGGCGCTCTAAGCTAGGGTACTGACCTTATAAGCTTGAACTAGGCCCTATACTCTATACTCCAAGAACCATGAACACCCCTGCAAATGACCCCCTCAACTTCTAAAAGTCATGAAGAGCAGAGCAAAGAAAACCCAGGCCCCATTCCTAAAGCTAACAGAGCAAAGCCCTACCCAGCTCAATCCCCTAATCACATCACCCGCATTTAACAACCTGAAGACTATCTAGAGGGTTAAGGGCAGGCAGAAAAACGGAACCGTGGCTTTCAAGAAGCAGCTTTGGTAGTGGCCTTTTTCTGGATTCGGGAAAAGGGAGAGGATATCGTCAGTGGAAATCTCTATGTTATATGGAATTACCCATCAAAGTAATGTAGGGGAGGGAAGAAATGTAGATTACCTTCTTTCACTCCAAAACAATTGCGACCAGTGTGAGGGCAAAGACCCCGCCGATTATGGCCAACATGACGATTGCAGTGATGATGAAGGAGAGGGGGGGACTTCGTCCTGCGTCTTCATGGGTTAAACTGTTGGAGGGGACTGGGCAGGTTGATTTGTGGGGATATGTGGCGGTGGAAAAGACTCACGACGTCTTCGTTCTGGTTCTGGTTCTGAGACGGTGGACTGCGGTGGAACGTGAATGGGCTGATTCCTTTCGTCATTGTATCTGGATGGGTATGCTTCGAGGTCATAGACTTCTGCGCTGCCAGATGAGTCGATGGTGATGTACGCGGGTTGGGGGGTGGTGGTTTTGGAGGTGTGGTCTAGAGGGTCTTGGTATGGTGATGATTGGGGCTTCATTTCTGGGCATGCTCTCTTGGTCTTTTGTATAAGCTTCTCTATGCGGATTGAAATGGTGAGAACTGGATGGCGCAGGTCGACGTGGAAATATTTATCCTTATAGGGCTGGGGCTGGTCGAGTGACCAGCTGACTTCACCATTATCACCACCTCCGTTTCTTCTGGTGTAGAGAGGGTGTGAATCATCTTCAACCGTGGAAAGAACGTAATGTGGACATCAGCCGCTGGATATTTCAGCAAAACGCACCTCGGTAGTGCAGGATCTTGATCTTCTGCAACGTAATCCTATCTATCTGCAAGTCCTTCTCCAATATCCATTCCAGTCTCTGAAACACTACTTCCTCTCCTTCTCGATACAGCTTCACTCAACTGAACTGAAGAACCATGTCCTCATCAAGCTCCAGCTCCTCCTCCTCCTCCTCCTCATCCCCACCCCCAGAAACCCACGAGATGGACTACATCGTAATCCCCCTCGCAGGAGGACATGGCTCCTTCCCTTCGACCAGCCCACGAGTCGTCGCAACACAAATATTCAGTCCAGCTGGTAAGAGCAGCCATATCATCCAGAATAGCATCCAAAACATCCCCTCAAAGCTCGAGCCTTACTAAGACCGCAATCCACAGCCCCTACAGCCCATGCCCACCCCATACACATCAAGCAAACCAGTATCGATGAGCACCGACTAAGAATCCACGAGGCCATCGTCCGCAACCAGCACTGGATCCTGTTTGGCCAAATCGGCATCATGATTCTGATTATCGTGGCTACGCTGCTCGTTGCGCAGCAGTTGGAGGGGTTGGCGTGCAAGCCTTGAGTTTTGGGTGGGAGTCGTGTGGGTTGGAGAAGATGGTGGGCGTTGGGGTTGTATGGTTGTTTGGATTGGGTTGGTTTGTTTGGTTTGCTGCGGTTTAGCTATTATACTATACATTCTTTTGGTGATTTCGGTTGCTTGTTGGGCTGGGGTTGACTGGGTTAAGGTGGTATATTCGGGGCATGGGGGGTTTATATAGCTTGGTTTACTATGGGAAGGTATGGTCGAAGCTCTATACTGCATTAGCAGAGATTTGATTTGATTAATACATGATATGGAACGTGTGTGTGTGTGTCTATGAGTCAGTAGTAAAAGCATCTTCCAGAGAAGACGACTTGCATTTTTAGGAAGAATATTTCAGCATCATGCTCTTAACAATCGGATGTGTGCGCTTTACTTTATAGGGCAAGAGGAAGATGCTATCTACTAGTTGTTGTGTTTAAAGTCATTCTAAGGCATCTCTAAGCACTAACATACTTATTAAAGACTTCTTCAGTTTTTGGTTTACGTAGCGCACACAAACCGTGATAAGCAGGATTACCAGATGAATTGGAAATAGGTTATAACCTAACAATACCAGTAGAACAACATAACACCAACGCCAGGCTTCCTCCAGCCATCCGAACCCTCCAGCCACGCCTGAAAATAGAAAACATGGTGGGTATTTTCATAAAGTTTCAACGACAACAAACATTAAACCAAGCCACTAGTAGTTTTTAGCGGAAGGAGAATTGTAGAAAAAGGTAAAAGAAAAGAGAAGGCATCAGCTCTGGAAGCTGTACATTCGGACCTCGCAGTCTTCGCTGCCGGTGGCGAAGCGACTGTCACCAAGTCCCATGCAGGTAACGGGGCCGGAGTGACCAGTGAATGTGCGCTCGCATTTGCCCGTTCTGGGGTCCCAGATCTTGACCATGCGGTCTTCGGCTCCCGAGACAATGCGAAGGGTGTCGGCGGCAAGAGCCCAGACACCCTCCAGGTGGCC